ACCGCTCCCCTCCCCGGCCGCCCTGATCCTCTCCATGCGGATCCTGCTGCCCTCGTCCCCTCCCTGTACGAGTTCCTTCATCCCCTCCCCACGTAAGCTCCCTCCATGCTTTCCATCAGGGCCAGGCATCCCTCTCAAAACCACACCCAGATTTAACTCCCAACTCAGATACAGAGCAACATTTCAGAAGGATTTGGGGGAAAATTACTTATAATAAAAACTATTAAGCCTCCCCAGAGTCAGCATCACCCCTGTCCAGCCCACGCACCAGTCATTGTTTCCATCATCCCAGGACCGCTGCGGCCCCGCGGTGACTTTGTCCACCGTGCTCCCCACAACCCCAGCACCGCTTGTGGCGACTGCGCCAGGACCCGGTACTGGTATCCCAGTGTCACAGGCATCACGATGAGTGGGTTACTGGGAGCCACTCCCCAAGCTCTGCCTGCGCTGGACGTCACCTTCTTGGAAAGGACACCTGAGACAAAGAGGAACGTAAAGAGAAGAGAAATGGGGGAACAAGGCTGGGGAAGAACAGAGTGAAAGCTGGGGAAGGGGCGAGTGGAGAAGGAAGGGGGGACGCCCTGACCACAGCAGCCCGCTGCAGGACACCAACAGCCTGCGCTCAGCCGCGCAGCGAGGAGGACGCGCCCGACGCTGGCGCCCAGCCGGAGCTCTGTGCGCTGCTGCACGAAGGGATGGACACTACGAGCCTCGCGCCTCTTCTCTCGTTTCCTGCGGAGAGACCCCGCCGTGCTGCTCATCGTCACCTACGTGGGGCACAGAGCAGCAGCATCTCAGCAAGAGCCAACGAGCCAGACAACAGGAATCCCTCCCTCCTCAGCAGCTGCTCCTGAAGACCCACAGCTTAGCAAGAGAGCAGGCAGCTCCTGCCCCAAAATGTGGCTGGTGGGTTCACCTTCTGTAAGGCAGTTGAGGTAAGCAGCCTGGATGCTGTTCCCATTGACCAGCACCATTGCCTCGTGCTTGGTGGAGCTGCTCAGAGTCTCCTCTTCCCCTTTCCCCTCATCGTCATCTTCTGAGTCCACCAGCACTAAGATGTCACCCGAATCTGGACTTCTGTGAACAGCAGAGCGAGCAAAGGTGGGCTGAGAGGCCGAGGACAGCCTATCCTGACCCCTCCCCCCAGCCTGCACCTCCCCTGGCTTTGACAACCCTCAATTTTGACAGACTCTCCCAATCCTGCACCAACCATGTTCAAACACCAGCTGGTTTCAGACCCCGCTGGCATCCTGCACTGCTCCCCATCCGTCCTCCAAAGCCCTCCACCCCCGTCACGAATGTCCACATACTAAACTGCACCAGCCCCTCCTGAGTGGAGTTATCCTCCCCTCCCATACGGGTGGGGAAACAAAGGCACTCAGAAAAGTCTTCCCGTGCTGCACTGCAGCTGCAGGGACAGAACCAGCAGGGGCAAGGGAAGGGAGCAGGAGCCAGCCAGGTGCCTTGCTAGCACCGTCCCCACGCATCCCAAAGCGATGCCACTCCTGCTCTGACACCAAGCGCTCTCCTCTCCTCCTCCTGCACCAATGCTGAGTCTCACCCAGCGCCACCATCCCCCAAGAACAGCTCTGCTCTGGGGACTGCCTCTGCCCCCGGGGTGGATCCTCGCAGGGAGATTGCCCTTGCCAGGAGGTGGACTAGTGAGGATGGGGCTGAGGAAAATCAGCGCTCACCTGAATGCAGCACCTGAATGGGAGAGAGAGGAAAGGAAAAAGAGTCAGAAACGGGTCCCAAAGCAGCCCCTCGGGCAGTGTGCTGCTGGTGTTACTGGACAAGCCTTGTCAGCCCTGCCTGCAGCTGGATGGTCTCCGGCAGCCACGTGTAGGGGCACGGACATGAAGGTGGGCTGCCCATGTATGCAACAAGAGCAGCAGAAAGGTGACAAGGAAAGGGGAGAAGGCCCAGCACAGCTCCCTGGAGAAGGCGAGGGGAAAGTGCCTGGAGCACTCAGCTGGGAAAAGGCCTGCTGGTTCCAACCCATCTCCTCCAGGGCTGCCAGGGCTTTGACCAGGAGCAGGATGAGGCCCAAGGGCTGCGGTGACCATCACAGCACGCCAGAAGGGACAAGATGGATAGCGATAAAATCAGGCCACCTCAGGAAGGAGTAACCCTATCCCTGAGTTGTGCGGAGGAGAGCTCCTACCTCTGAGGCACAGGAGGGGGTTATAGTACAAGACGACGCCCGTGACGGTGAGAACAGCCAGCAGGGACAGGACCACCACTGCGCCCACGACCCCAACGATGTTCGCCGGCTCTGTGGAGAGAAGAGGAGACACAGGAGCCCAGATTGTCACCAGGACATGGAAGGGTGAGGAAATCTCAGTGCAAGCGACAGAGCAGGTCCTGGTGCAGTCTCATCTCCCGTGTCCCACCATTGTGACAGTCCCAGCAGCGCAAGGGGTGAGTTTCAGGCACTGGTGCTGCACTGATACAGAAAACACCACAGCAAGGCCCCTACTCTTGTGCCCACGTGCATCTAGTGAAAGCAAATGAACTCCTTCCCACTGCATCTTGAGCAGTTTGGCCCTCGGAGGGGCTCCTCTGTGCCCACAGCCTTCAGGAGGGGCCGAGGATGCTCCTCTCTCAGGCCCATTATGCTGAGGTGAGGGGAATCAGACCGTTTCACCCTGGGATGACGGGAGCAGTCCTGCATCTACGCTTGCCACAAGAGTATGGAAAGCGTCAACAGGCAAAGAAGGCTCTTAGTGGCAAATGGAGCCCCTTGGGGGCTCGCCAGTGGCCCCCATGAGCTTTGTCCCCAATTCCACCTCAATCCCTGCCGGAGCAAGCCCTGGCAGCCCCACTCACGCTTCACCGTCAGGCAGACGAACAGCTCCCTCAGCCCCACGGGGTTCTGTGCCTTGCAGACGTAGCAGCCCCCATCGGCGCCCTGGGAGCAGTTCTGGATGGTGAGCCGGGACACGTTGCCCTCCTGGGCGATGAGGTACCTCCCGCCAGGCTGGATCTCCATCTCCGGCTGGGTGATGTCCCGCAGCCAGGAGAGCCTCGCCGCCGGAGTGCTCTCGGTCACTCGGCACGTCAGGGTCACGTTGTCACCCACAAAGCAGGTCTTCGGGGGGTCTGATTCCAGGGAAGGGGTTTCTGAACAGCCCAAGAGGGGGGGGGAAACCCGAAAAGAGTGAAGGACGGAATGGAGGAGTTGAACATAGCAAGCAATCAGCCACCTGACTGATTAATAATCATTAACAGAAGGAAGTCAGACAGGAGTCTGGGACTCCAGCAGGGGGGTTTTGGCATTCAGCTCACTCACAAGACCCCAGCAGCCTTTCAAGGAGCGATCTGAGCATCTCTGATGCTGCTCAGTCCCTTTTCTGACACCTGCCTTTACAGCCCCAGGGAAGAATGGCTGGAGGGCAGCCAGCAGGAAGATGGCAGAAAGGAGAATGGCAGCCCAGAAATTTTCCTTGGGATCAGCAGAGCTCTTGTGTAGCTCTGACAACCCTTGGAGGATAAATACAGCTCAGGTTTTCAAAAGCCCCTTTAGCCAGATCCCTTAGAAGCTTGAAGGGGATGTGGGCGCATGCACGACCCTTCTTCTACAAACCCAGCCCTACCAAACTCAGTCTCAAGCTGTGCGAGGCACTAAAACCACCTCTCACCTTCACACAGGCGTGAGAGCTTGTGCAGGTGCAAAGCTTGGTGTGAGGAGATTTGTTGGCCCCTGAAGATGCACCCACAACACAACACCTGCAGCTATGCTATGACACATCTCCACTGCAGGACTTCTGTGCTTGTGCAGTCACCTCTGCACAAGCCAAGCCCTGCCACGCTACCTGAATAGCATCCACCCCGCAAGCCTGGCTTGCCTGACCACTGCCTCTTAGTGCTCTGAAGGGCAGAGAATGGCCAGGGTACCTGTCTGCCTTACCATTATCAGGCTCATTAATCGTTAATAAGGTAAGCGAGTCAACTCACTTATCTCCACAGTGCATGCTGGCTCCTCCTGCTTGACAACGTGGCTCCCAACACACTTGAACACTTTGCGGTGGGAGAGGTGGGAGCTGTTCAGCGTTTCCACGTGGGTGTCTGAGGAGCTCGTGGAGCTGATGACCCAGCTTGAGTTCTCCAGATCGTGCCCCTCTTCTCTCCAGTGCAGGGTGGGGTGGGGGTGCCCCCCAGGCCAGCTGCAAAACAGCTGCAGCATCAGCCCCGATGAGGAAGTCTCAGCCCAGCACTTTGGGGATGAATGCGGTGGATCTGTCAGCAAGAACAGCGCATGGTTAGAAACATTTCCAAGTCCCAGCTCTTGGCATTGCAGGGCAGGAACCCCCATGAGTTCTTGGTTTTGCTGTCACTTCCCCTGAAAGTCGTCTTGGTTTCCCTATCTTGCTCCCTGGCCTGCGTCCCACAGCCCCAGGGAGCACAACTCTGAACGGCAGTCAACGGGGACCAAGCAGGAGGTGCCCTGCAACAGCCACCACAGCCCTGCCTTGAGGGATTACTGCACAGGGAGGAAAGAAATTATTGCCACAGCTTTGTCCAGTGGAGACGAGATAAGCTCCCAGAAACAGCAGAACAACATCTCCATCCACCACAGCACAGGTCCTCCTGCCTCAGACACACAGGGGTGACACCGATTCACACTGCCTCTCCACCTCGCTGATACAAGCACTTGGGTTTCCCTAGGGAACACGGAGAGCATCAGGGCTCCCGCCAAGCAACAAGTGAGCAGCTTCACAGAGCCACCAGCCCCAGGCTGGAGCAGCTCCCCAGCAATCCCAACCGCTGCTGGAGGAGGGGGCTGTTCCCAGCGCACAGGACGCTCTGCCCACAGGGAGTCCTGGTGACTCCGGCTCAGGGACAGGGACAGGTGCCACTGAAGCCAACCCAGCCAACCCAGCACCGCTGTCACTGCCATGTGGGGACTCAGCCACGCACCACACTCCGCGTCCGCACCGCGCCGCAGCAGCAGGGACAAACTCCAGCAAAGAACAGGGTAAGTCACCACTGGCTGGACGCCAGCGCCGATCGCTTGGTAACAGCCACGGCTGTTTGTTACTGAATGCAGGAACAACTACAGCACGGCAGGAGCGGGTCAGAAGCCAACAGAAACCGAAGAGCAGTCTCCCTTTGGGCAGAGTGGGGCTCATGTTTCCTGCGGTAAAGCCCCTGCCTCTCCCCCACCAGCTGGGTTCACACACACGGCCCCACGCATGGATACACACGCGTGTTCGCTCAACAGCCAGAGGGATCCTGGACTCTGATCAGGCACAGTTAACACTGTGCCCCTGGTTTGCCTAATCCAGTGCTGAGCAAGACCCCACCGAGACATCGGATGCTGTCACAGCGAGCCCCGCACAAGAGGTGTCAGGGGGTGCCTGGTGATTATTTTGCATTTATTCAAGTGACTTTCAAATGACATGAGTTTTAAGAAAATAAACGATGGCAAAACCCCATGTGAGCTACCAGAACATACCTTCTTGGGGCTTGGCTTTCCGGGAACTACATACACACATCTCGTATGATCTTTGAAACCATCCAGTTCTGGCAAGACAGTTCCCTACAGCACTTCCTCTGTCCCAGCCCTGCGGAGGTCTCACAACTGACCCCGAATCCCGGCTGTGCTTACTAAGAGCAACCTGTCAGCACCAATCACCAGAAACTCTTCTGTCTAAATGCTAGGAGAAATCTGTTCCCAAAATGTTAAAAACCCAAAAATCTCCCACCCCTTGCAACCAAAACCACCCTCACAAAACAGCAGGAAGAAGGATCCTGCGCCCACAAAAGGGCCAACAGCAGCTTGTATCAAATTGCACACTAACACGCCAAGGAATCCTTCAGAGGTGTGCAGCTGCACCTTGCCTTCACACCACGTGTTTCCCATCCAAAACAAACACAAACAGCAGCGCAGGCCAGGGCTGCACCTTCCTCGTGTTGCCAGAATGCTTTCTCTACTGCTCGGGGCTTTTTTAAGCAGAGTTTTAGGCTAAAAGAGAGCTTTTTGGTACAGCCCACGAGAAGGGTTGAAGACTCAACTGGCAGCTCCCACATGAAGCCTATGGGTCTTGGGTGGCTGTTTCACAGCAGTGCCAAGTCTGTGTCTGAGAGGTTCGCTCCAGCCCAAGCTCAGCTGCTCCGGTAACAGCGAATGTGAAAAGTCAGGGCCCGTGCTCCTCATCTGAGGCTGAGAGGCCTTGCTGATGCTCCTGCTGATCTAAAGCACCACCAAAAACACCTCTCTCACCTGTTCAAGTGCACACCACCGCGCCACATCACTTTGTAACCTTTGGAAATTAATTGACACATTAATTCCACACTATCAAATGAAGTTCAGAGTGCAGCACCAACACTTGGCATGCCACAGGGATCTCTTGCTCATGTTTTGCACCAATGCTCCAGATTTAGAGCTCCCCCTCCTCAGCCCCACACCTACACCTATGTTCTCTGAAGCAGCCTGGGGTCCAATTCCTTCACTCTGGCCATCCGTGACCCTCCAAACCCATCTGCAGGTTCCTTGCCCCAGAAAGGGAATTTTTATTGGCGTGAACTTTCCGAGATGTAACCCGTACAAAACAGGTACGACTTTTACAACCTGCACCCCTCACCAAACAGAAGGAACACCCTGAACGCAAACAGCAAACAACGTCTCAGGCACGGCAGGTGTTGACGGAAAGACCAGTGAGAAAGGCAGGGGCCGACAGAGCACAGAGTGTCACCGAAACAGGCAAACTGGCAGCATTTGTTCCCTTTCGCCAGCCTGGCAATAGGGGCTTGGCTGGCAAAAAGGACAGCAGGTCACGGCCCAGGTCTGAGGGGTGACACCTGATCAAGTCACATCTGGTTTGACTTGGTGAAGGGGCCAAGAGTGGCACCAGCCACAGGACTCGCGCTCCCTGCTAATCTGGAAGGGGCTGTTCCCACTGGAGAGATGAGGCACCCAGGCAAGACAGCGATTCCCCGGCAGGAGCAGGAAAGCCCTGCACCAGCAGCGTGCAGAGTAATCGACCCGAGTGCTCTCCTGCCTGATCTTCCACCCGTGCTGCGAAGATTTCTAAGAGTGAAGGAAATGGGAATAAGCACCAAAAGACACAACAGGAAAAAAAGGCTGAAAGAAGGGCCTGTGCTGCTAACAACAGACACACTCCCAGGACAGCACTCCCAGCAGTGAATTTAACACGGTGTTTCCACCAAAATCGGAAGGCTGCACTCTAAGTCAGCACAGACAACTCGCCAGCTGAGGACTCTCCATCCTCACACCAAAATGATGGCAACAAGGAACAGCACAGCAGGACTATATCAAACTTGTATTTCAATCACGGGAAAAAAAGACACTGAGCAGCAGCCCCCACCATAAGATTTATGAAGGCCCAAGTCAGGCAGATTCTGAGGCAAAGGGCCACCCTGCAACAGTTACAGGATATGAAAGATCTGTCTAAAATCCAGTTTATCATCACCAATGAAGAAGAAAGAGACATAGTGAGGACATAATAGCTGGCATTTCATCCGTTGCATTGCACACAACTGATCCTTGACAGACCAGCCAGACGCATCTCAGTGCTTGGTAGCAAATGTGTAACTGAGTAGCAGTGGCCTGCTCACAGATTTTGTATGGTGAAGCCACTTTGCCTTTTTTTACAGTTTTTCCACCAGTGCCAGATGAATCTGGGGACCTGTGAGACTCTGGAGAGGAATTTCACAGGGCAGGACAGACTTACTGGCTACGCGGAGCTGGACCCTGTGCTCGTGGTCTGTCTTGTTCAGCACTTCCTTGCAGGTGTAGTTGCCCTCGTCCTGCACGCGCAGCTCTGCGATGCGCAGGGAGCTGTTGTCAACCAGGGAGAAACGAACGTCTGGGGGGAAGGAGACCCTTGAGGAGAAAAGTGGGGGGAAAGAGTGCGGATCTCCTTGGAACCAGACCACTTCGGTTGCTTCTTTGGAGACATTTCTGCATAAGAGGAGGATGCTTCCTCCAACTTTCCCAAAGACCACTTCCTCTGTTCCTGCAAAACAGGAGGGACACGGTTAGGGACGTAGGGAATTGGCAAAGCCCCTTTCTGCTAGCAAAAACCTGGACATCTGATACATATCAACCCCCTGGGGTGCTCGTTGGGGGGCTCTCGTCAAAGGATCTCTGAGATGTACTTGGCAACTGAGTGCGACACAGGGTTAGGAAGAAGGACACAGCTTCAAAGGCTCAACAGGAAAGCCAGGACAGGCTATTTCTGCCCGAGAGAGGAGAGTAACTGACGGAGCCAGACAAGAGCAGCGTTAGAGCACTAACAATGCCGGGTCACAGCAACGTCCATGCTCACCCAACGCTTTGCTGGCCCACTCACCCAAGCAGCTGCACCCCTGCACCGCTCAGAGGAGCACACGGTGCCCAGAAAAGGCAACAAAACCCACCCCAGTATC